TTTTGAAAATTAAATTGAAAAACAAGACTACGTTACTTATACAATTTTACCTTTTCTTTTATTTAATTTCAATTTATTGGTACTTTTTTGTATAATAGAAATAAATAATTAGAAAAAGCCTATCTTTTCACAAAATTCTTTTTTTGCATCATTATTGTTAATTAATAAACGCTCGGAAACATCAACTATTGAATCAGTTCCGGGATCGAGTCATGACTGACCTACCGTCCTTATTCATTATAGTTCACTATCAAAAGAAAGTATCCAGGACAAAGTAGAAAAAAGAAAACTACTAATTCTAAAAATTCATTTTTTGAGATAAGAACATTTTCTATTTAGAAATATCGATGTGAAGTTAACACGACGAATAGCTACTAGGACGGATTTAGATAAACCTAAAATCCTGAATATTTGGACTTTTCAGGGCGGAAATCTGGGTGCAGGTGCTTGTGTACATATTGCCGAGCATCCTCATCCAACTTCCGTCCCCACAATACCCAGCGTTACAGACTTCAAGTTCACCTAAATCTGTCGTGATAGCTTCACATCGATTTACGAAATCATTATATTTTGGATTTATAAATAAATAAATAAATGTACATTTATCTTGAAGATGAAAGTATAAAGATTCGCATTTATATTTAATTGCTATAAAAGATATCTGTTGATTGAAACTTGTTCGACTGTCCTCACTTATAGAAAAACGTCAATTTTTGTTTTTGTTTTTGTTTTTCGTTTTGCTAGGATTTCATCAATCAATTAGTTTCATTTTCTAGAAAATATTTTAAAAAATAAAATACTATAACATGAGCAGAAATAAAATTAAAGCAATAACTATCATCGAAATAATAAAATAACAACACCTTTTCAAAAAGAAATAAAAAGCAAAACATTTTTTTTAAGTTTCTTTCGTTTGTCATTGATATTTCAAGAATATTTTATATTCTTGAGATTTGCAAAAGTTTTATGAACAAAGACAAAAATAAAAATTTATCTGTCACCTAAAAATAAATTATTCATTCGTAATAGGGTAGTGAACTAGACAGATAATCTCGTTTTGTAACAAAACTCAAAGACAAAAAAAGAAAAAATAAAGCAATATACCGAAAATTTTGAACAATTTTTATTTAAAGTTGAAAATAAAATAGAACCATATCTGATAGAGATCGATGAATCTCATTATATTTTTATAAATATTATCTTAGAAAATAATGTAGTTATCTAATAGTTTTTCTTTGGTGTAAATCAATCTATTTTCTAATAAGTATTTATAAATATACGAATAAAAAGTGGATTCGATTCCACAAAGAAAAAAAAAACCTGAACATAATTAGCATTAATTTCTTCTGCTATATAAAATTTATCAATAAGATTTTTCATTTTAAATAACTATTTATAGAATAATTCTACATGAATTTAATAAATCATGACTTCCATATATATCAAATATTCATGATCTCAAATGATTGTATAGTTAGATGTAATAAAGTCAAAAAGAAAAAAGAAATATCGCCATGAAAAATGATCTGAAAAACATGGTTTATTGTAAAATAAATGAATCTATAACATTCTTAATAGCATCATACTAAAGATTGTCAGTATAATGTTGAATTGAAATTGTTTTGACTTATTTCAGAATATTTATTCAATGTACGTTCCCAATCTATGTACGAATGAAAGAGAGACGTAAACTATAGAACTACATAAATTATTGATTATACAATTGGTATTTGATTCTCATCCACACAACGGAATTTTCTATTTTCAGAGAATTGATAGATGATTTCAAATTCTTTTTTTTTATCAAGAGAGAGTAATTTATTTTTCATCGAGTTTGAAAGAAAATTTCAAGTTAAATTTCATTAAATATAAATCTAGTGATATTGAACTCAAATGTGCTTTGATTAATATTCATTTAACTTCTTAAGAATAGATCTTAGAATTTTTATTTTTTTTCGTAAGACTTTTCATAGAAATGAAATATTCATCCAAAGATAGGAAGGATCACTCGAAAAAAATTGTTCGTTTTTGTTTATGTTTCATTATTTCAATTGAAAATCGATCGAATTCGTTCATCTTTGCCTCATTTCACATGAGAAGATAGAGCAAAATGAGGCGAACCTTTTCGTGTCTGAGGAACAATACTTGAAAACTTACTCAAAAAATACTAGTAGTTTTCCAAGTCCTCTCCAACTGAAATTGTTGAAAGGATTGAAATTAACTTAATTGGAATAATTCGAATCGCGATCTCAAGACTCTCATCATTTTTATAAAACAAACTCTATTGTTCAATGTAAAATAGTCGAACAATTATTGAGATAAATCGACTTTTGTTTTGAATAGCGATCTACATGATACCAACTGTCTACATTCATTATTCGTTGAAGATATACAATACTGTAAATGATTATTAAAGCATAATGAAAGACATTGTTCAAAACATCATCTCATTTTATTGTTGTTACCGCTACTCGACTTTTTCAGGTAAGGTCTAACTGTGGTATCTGTTCTTGTCGATTTGAAAATCAGCGTTGATTCCATTAGGTTTAAACTCTTTTAAGCGGATTTTTAGATATCAGTTGAGATCATTCTAGTTCATCCAGACTTATGTCATGAATCGTCTCAACATTACAGTGCCATTAAATTTTAGTTCAATCTCGTTTACTTCATATAAGCGGAATTTATTATGTCGATTTGAAACGATTCTCTGGTTTGCTTGCTTTGAATATGATGGAATAATTTTCGTTGTTTGATAGAACGGTTCAATACATTATCCTTCGGTAAAATTTGGCATTACACATCTGTAGAATTAATATCAAGTTACTTTGTAAAAGTGAACGACTACTGAGAAACAATAAAATAACTTCTATTATTCATTGTCTGTAGATTAAGAAATTAAACTTATTAATATGAATTATGAGCGAGGTTAAATACATGTTAGTTAATTATGTTCGAAATGAATCTTATAAAACAATTAAGTTACTAACGAAATTATAACTTAAACATTGATATGAGAAAAGAATTTACAAAGATCTGCATTGGAACATCTCGTTTTTCATTGAAAACGTGAACAAATAGTTTCGAATCAAGTTCCACTACATATTTCTTTTTTTTTTGGTACAAAAAAACGTGTTTTTATCACAGAAGTCTCTTATATTCATCTATCTATATAAATTATTTTAATATATTTGCAGCATTTTTATCATAGATGTCCTAATCATTTTTTTAGTGGAAATTCTCAAGTTTTCATGGAAAATGTTAAAAATCATTTGAGTATGTCCACTGTATTTCTCATTTGTTGCAATATCTTTAGACTTACAGAAAAGAAGTTAGTTAGAAAAAAAAACTTTCATTCACTATGGAATCTTAATAATTATTGTTTATGTTTAATGTAAAATAATTCTGTTATAATTTGTGTAATTGAAGCAATAAATAACTATTTTCATGGTTCTTTCTTCAGATTGAACGATCAAAAATGATTTATCGATTTGTTTTATGTTACGTACAGTCCGATCATTAACAAATAATGTTTAACACCTTTTCCATTTTCTGAAAAACGAAAGATATAAATTATTGATTTTTATTTAAGTGAAATCAAAATAAGATTGAATTTATAATGAAAGAAAATAATGATGAACACCTTCAGACAGAATTATTGAGTCTTCAACAATTAATCGTTTCACTTTGGTTCAATTTTGTTCTGTTCTATTTCTTGTTAAGCTTTTTATTACACTTTTTAATTGACCATATAAATATTTTAATTTACTTAAACATGATAAATGTGTTTTAAATTCATTCAGAAATATAGATTAAGTAAAATAAGATAAGAATATTCAACAACCGAATATGAATAGTTATCAATGAATGGATATTTGTAAGATCTTCAAAATTGTGATCAAATATTCATAATAGATAATAATTTAAGTGATGAAAAAGCTTGAGTAATTAGAATGAAAAATTCATGTTTAAATGGAAGTTTATCGTGCAATTTCAAATGAGTTACAGATCTGAATATTAATGGATGAAAGATTGTTCGTAATCTATTTGAGACGATCAACTATAAATGGAAGTGAGAAAACATGGCACACGATCTTAAAAGTATCGAAATAGTCTAGAACACAAGCCGCCTCGTAAAGATCTGTACCTACAAAAGTTCTTTGAATATCATAATTAGATATGCAATGAGTTGCATCATCACCGATGTCATTCTTTGTACTAATATAAAAATAAAATGTATAAAAACGTTATGTAATAAGTAACAAAAATCATTAAATTTATAAAAATTCCTTTTCCATTTTCTTCTTTCAATTATCTCTTATATATGTGTATGTTACTAATCAAAGAGAATAGTCGATAATTCTTTTTTTGTGTTCTTCTTTCGTTCATTCATCACTCTTATAGCATGATATTGAGTGCACGACATCTCATTTGTTCATACACATTCCAGATGAAAAGGAAAATAAATTGAACATAACATGTGTAAAGACGACATAGATATCGTGCCCTCAATATCACAGCATGCGTCAAAACAACCGGTTGTCATCATACACTGCGTATTAAAATTCCGTCAACGTCGTCTTTCTTCGCGTTTCTCTATTTCTTCTCGTTCTTCGTAACAGAAGAAAAAAAAAATTGAAACAAACGGAGCTTTTGAGGGTGGCTCTAAAACAAAATGAACCTTCCCAGGGATGTCCGACGTTCTGTTGGTAACCTGTACAGGCGTGTAAATGGTAGGCCTTCATAACATACATCTATGTATGTATGACTAGAAGCATTCATCTCGTCATCGTCTTTCCGAAGATGATGATCATGGATGTACTAGTCCTACATACATAAATGTATGTTTGCCTCATCATTGTCGGCTTTGTCCACTGTACAACCCAATAGAATACGGAGGGTATCTCTGGTCGCGTGTGCGCGAAATTTGTTGCAGCTGGCGCACTTCGGCGAGCAAAACGTGTTCAAGAAGGGCAGTTTATTTTCTTGTTTAAAAAAAACAATTACATTTTCTTTTTCAGAAGTTCAATTTTTCTTTTCGACTGTGCAATATTCGGATGGTTTGGTGGCAGAGTTTTTCGATCGATTTCATGCGCTTTTTCAAGAAATGAAAGTGCTTTCGAGTACTCGCCCATGTCTTTATACACCACACCGATGTTGTTGTAGGAAGTAGCCAAGTTGGGATGATTCGGAGGGAGAGCTATTTTTTGGATTTCAAGTGATCGTTCGTACGATGAAAGTGCTTTCGAGTACTCGCCCATGTTATCATACACCGAACCGATATTGTTGTAGGATTGAGCGAAGTCGGGATGATTCGGAGGGAGAGCTATTTTTCGGATTTCAAGTGATCGTTCATACGATGAAAGTGCTTTCGAGTGCTCGCTTATTTTAGCATACACATTACCGATGTTGTTGTAGGAAGTAGCCAAGTCGGGATGATTCGGAGGGAGAGCTATTTTTCGGATTTCAAGTGCTTGGTCGTACGATGAAAGTGCTTTCGAGTACTCGCCCATGTCATCATATGCCCAACCAAGGTAATGATTGTAATCTGATCTCTCTTTATCAGAAGATGCGTTTTGGAGAAGTATTTTGTAGAGTTTTTTAGCTTTTGCAGGCTCACCCACTTTAAGAAGTATGAAAGCTAGTTGAGACCATCCTCGTATTGGTGCTTTCAAGTTGACCTCGTCGCGTACGTGTGCTGTAAGTGTATTTAGCTCGTGGTTGTCATTACCCACAAGGGTAAGATGAACTTTCCATAGACGATCAGTATGATCGTCATGAGTTTGTTGAATTTTATCGATTCGAAATATTGTATGTGTTGTAAAAAGAATTTCAGCTTCTTTGCCTTCGAAAAAGCCAACTTGACTAACATCAGCAAATGGAATTTCTGATTTTGTACATACATCAGGATCAATAGTCATAATGAAGAGGATACCGACCATATCGGAATTTTTCGATGCTCCTTGTCGAGCAAATTTAAGGGACACTTGACGATTTTCACTTGTGGACAAGAAATTATTGAAGGACAT